AATAAATAAATAAATAAATATATATATATGGTAAATATTTTAAAAAACTTTTACTATCTCTCTGGCAATTGTGCTAGCAATAAGAGAAAGGAAAGTTGGTATTCACCGAGTAAGGAGACGAACGGTTTGCAATAATATTTAGTGAAATATCTAATGCAAAGTATACTCACCGACATTGTGATACGGACTGGTGGAATTAAGATCGCCCACCGGTGGTGCCAGTGTGGCATTGTGAAGTAATACGTTGCGTTGAGCTTCATAATGACTGTGACTTATACCGTGCCCTGGGTATCCAGGATGTGCAGGATGTGCAAAATGGTCTGGTGCGCCAGGCAGCGACAAAAGAGATGCTAGATCTTGCCACCGTTGTTCCATGCTCATTGCACGCATGAATGGCATGCGACCCTGAAGTATGTATGTACAAATTACAAATCGACGCGTTTTCAAAGGGGAAAAAAAAGAAAATTTTTTTTTTCCATCAACGAGACAAAATCTGTGTATATCTTAACAATCATTGTCATTGATTCATTTACGTATTCATCCGCTGTCACGGCTACAAACATTCCGCGGCTATCGACTGTCAAATCTCGAATCGGGGTGGATGTTGAAATTCCAGCAAGGTAGAAACCCTGCTGATCGCGTAGGTGTTTGGCCACACGTGAGCAGAGACGGCCGAGATATTAATGACTTATGGTATACCACCACGTGTCAAGTGTATCTCCTCGACGGTGCAAGAACGATCGACGCGTCAAGTATGGAAATTACAAGGATCAAGAAAGATTTTCATTGAAAGAACGACGCTTCCATTTTAAATTCAAATTTCCACGAATCTAATTAACAGTCGAGTGCGTACTTTCTGTGTTGCAGAACGCACGATTATAATTTTATCAGGGTACGAAAATCTTGTGGAAATTGTTACCAAGGAAATACAACACTGCGCGACTGAAGAAGAAAGTCACAACATTTTGTGCAAACCACATCTTTGCTTAAATAATAGATGTAGCGAATAATGAAATTACTGTTTGTATAATAGCAATATTTAGCTACTAAACGTTTCTCAATTTTCAACACTTTGCTGTCGGGTAAATTAATCAGTCAATAAAGTAAATCGAAACATAAAACGATATAATAAAAGGTAAAAATATTATCCAGGTATAAGATATAAGATAATTTATAAATGATGCTCCGTTGTTGAGTATGCTACTGTAATCTCAATCTCCAGCAAAGTGTCAACACAAGACGTACTAGCATTTTACATATACCTATCTTACCATAAGGGGTCATTTGACCCCTCATGAA